ATCATGCCACTGCATTCCTCTTATCCGGGACCAGATTGACATGGCAAGGAAATCTCACCACTGAAGCAGCACAGCAACACATTTGGCCCTCTAAAATTAAGCGACAGCCTTAGCAAACCCAACTAGGAGCACGTGTAGAAAAGCTTGGCTGTTCTGGATGCTGCTGAGAACAGGGATGCTGCTGAAAAGGAGGGGGATGCTGCTGGCAAAACCCACAACTGTGTTCTTGGTTTGTAGATAGATGATGCCTGGCACATGGAAATAAATCATAGTGACCAGTCCCAGAAAATGCTGTTGTTCAGCATGGTTTGCATTGAATTTTTAGCAAGTGGGATACAGTAAGTAACTGAGCTCCTTCTGGTGAGCATGAAATAGCAACACTTAGAGGAAAAAACATCTCTAAAGGCTTTGAGTCCGGCGGTAAATGGAAATGCACTTGTTGAGCTTTGATGATGGAAGTGACATTTCAGACTGGGCGCCGGGTTTGCTTTCATTTCTGACAGCCCTTGAGGTCTGCATCAGACCTGTTTGATCTCGTGAGCCAAGGCTGTTCCCAGTGACAGCCCTCCTGGTTTGCAGTGCCGAGATGGAGTACAGCGAGCACCGGGGACGTGGCTTACAGGGCATGTTTTCGGTCCCAGCTTTGCCCCAAAGGTCCCTTTGTTCAGGCGCTCAGCTGCAGCGCAGGCGGTTGCTTGCCGCATGATGTGAAAGGGAACAGAGATTTCTTTGTTTTCCGGGGCCCGGCTGCCCTGCCGGCAGAAATTGAGCCGAAATCAGCAATTTCCATCCCTTTCCCTTTCCAAATCTGGCTACCATTCTGCCGGCACGCTCGAGCGTGAATTTACGGGCGCTGCACGTGTGTGGTGCTTTGGGCTTGTCATCCTGGTGGTGAAAGAGAAACCTTTCATTTCTCCTTAATAACATCTTAATCACGCCATCTGAGGTTAAAAGCCATAATTTTGGAGGGGATATATGCTCAGATCGACGCTTGCATAAGCGTTTGTTACGTGTCGCGAAGTAACCAAGTGCAGGAATCGGGCATCTCGCTGAGCCGTGGGTACTCGGGATCCCTCTGCTTCGAGCTGAGGACAGAAGTTTGTGCTAAATGCTGCGTTATGCCAAGAAAATTACCCTAAGCTGCTGACTAGCATCAGCAGCATGTGGGGCTGGACTGATGCTGCTGACATTTTAACTCTACGCCCTGGCTAGCAGAAAGCACACTCAGCACTCTTTCGGGAAATAGTTGTTGGAGCTGGCGTGGAGCAGGGCGCAGAGCCCGTTTTGTGGCAGGATGGGCTTGGATGTGCCCTGTGCTGCGCTGCCTTCCATCAGGCTGGCTTTGCATGTGTGTCGCCGAGCTTGGCGGCTGGCCGCCATCAGCAGCAGGTATTGCTTTTTTGTTGCATAGCCTAAGCCGAAAGAACAGGATCATTGTGGCAGCAGGGAGCGAGCGGCCAAAAAAAAGTGGAAAGGAAAAATCAATAAAAATCACCTTTTTTCCCCCTTTCAGGCCAGGTGTGCTGCGAGTTGGAGATGAAGGCTCAAGTATGTTGCTTAAAATACTTCAGAATATTATATTTGGAAGAAGCAAAGACTTATTTCTAGAATAATTCCAATTGCTACTGAAATTTAATTGGCTTTCAAGTAAGAGTTAGCAGGTACAGGTAAAAACATAAACGATACACAGATTTTCCATAATGCCATTTTTCATTTGTCAGCCTTGCCACGGGACATCTATAAATACTTATAGCATGGTTGGTTATTACATAGTTGGGTAATTTAGCACATTATAGTTTTTACAGACAACACTGTCAATTTATTTTAAAAGCCCTTTCATTCTATGACTTTATTTTCTGTGTTTTAAGGGCCTAAATATTTAAAGAAGTGGATAAAAGGGTTAAGCAGGGGATGAAACGGAGCATGTACTGAAAGAAAAAGGGAAGGATGGTGGGGGCGGTCGAGGGGCGGGAGGTGGAGGAAGGTTTGGGTACGGATGCAGGAGCCTGGGCAGCTCCTGCAGGATCCGGCCAGACTATCTGTGCTGTTGGGGAAAACATAGGTAGTGCCTATGCTCTGAAGCTTAAATGGGATGGACAAGAGACAGCAGAGGCAATTTCTGCCCTCTGTGGGATTTGCGTTAGGGTATTTTATAGTGGCTTTAGATGCTTGCCAGCATCTTTACCGTGCACTGTGCCTGCACGCAGCTGCTGTGCCTTCTGCCTCCTGCTTCTTCTTGCTGCTCATCCATATTCAGTGTCACCCGGCTGCTTTCTAGAAAGGAGGAAATCAGAGCATGCTGGTGATTTTTTCTGGAGCAACTGCTCATTGGTATGGAAAAGGGGAAAATGCAGCACTTGCAGTGCAATTAAGTACATCGGTTCTGTGGAAAGCCTGGTGAATGTCGTGGAAAGAAGGCTTTGAGCAGCAAAATCGGCAGGTTTTCTGCTCTCAAAACTTTCCACTCGGCATCGCTGTAGTTGAGAGGGAATTTTGTGAGGTAGCTGTTAACTCTTGTGTCAGACGGTTGCACAGCATCTCAGGCTGCCGCTGAATGTACGTGTTCCTGGGAGAACACATCCATTTGAAAAGCCAGATTTTAGTATCTGTGTATTGTCTTTTCTTTTTTTTTTCTTCTTTTTTTTGTAATGCCTGCGTGATTTATCTTTTGCTTTCTTAAAATGTTTCTTTCAGTAAATAACTGAGATAAATCTGCTTGGTTTGAAAAGAACCAGCAAGTTTTGCTAACTTGGTGCCAGTCTGTGTGCTGGGGTGGGCCTGCAGCCAAGCTAGTATTTCAGCTCAGGTTGCATTTGGACAAAACAGAGTAACTAATTATTCTCTGCAGCCTTCTCTCCAGGTTTGTGTCAGTTTGGACTCTGGCTCTGAGTGCAGTGGGGCTTGGAGCAGTGCTAGGACAGCTTTCAGTGTGCAGTTGAACACACGCAGGCAACTGCAGCACAGAGAGCCGTGTCTGCTCTGGGAAAATGAAATATCTGCTTTTCAGCAGCCCTGTGTGCGCTACTGCAAAGGGTTCCTGAGCATTTTTAACCCTGTAGCGTGAAAACTGACGGCTGCAGCTATCGGCTGCATGAAGAAATTGTTAACCACCCTGGGACTGCCAGCGTGGTGCTGCTGGAGTTGGGAGTTACTTTTCAGCGCTGTCGTAAGTACGTTGGGCTTCTTCCTAACTTTCACCAGACCTTTCCAATTACCCCGGAGCTTGCAGGGCCCTGAAAGAAGTGAAGTTTTGTTAACCATGACATGACTAAGGATCTCCAGCAAGATGATGCTGTCCCGCTTCTTGGGCCAGTAGGAGCAAGACGTGACCAACAGTCTCTGCCCCAGGGAGTTTAAGAGTCGGAGCAGCGGTGGAAGGAGAGACCTGGAGGCAAAGTCACATCTGCAGGGTCACTGAGGAGCAGAGAAACATCTTCTGTTTGTCCTTCACACTGCCCTTTTTTGGGTAGATCCATGTTTATTTGCTTAAACACAGATTGAAGTTTCTCATTTAGAGGTAGTTAAAGGGTGATGCTGCTTTAAAACCGGTCTGTCGCAATCACAGGGAAATGCCTGAAGTAAGTAAACTGGCTTGATGTGTCGTTTTCCTTGGACAAGGACTTTTCTTTCGCCAGCCACTAATAGTGGTTTTGGGCGGCCTCGCTGTTTGTCCCTGCCAGGTGGAGGGAGCAGGTCCTGCTTGCAGATGCCGTTAAAGGCGTGAAATTCAGTTATCACTTCTTACTCCATTATCAAACCAGTTTTATGTGGAAATGTGGTGAGATTTGAGAGGCCCTAGGTGAACACACAACACCCTTTGCAAACCTGCAGTGCTAGGGTCTCCTCCCTGCGGTCCCTCCCCACCACCACCACCGTGCATCTGCCCTGTTGCCACTGTTTCCACCCTCGAGCAGGCAGCTCTGTGACTGGAGGGCCCCAGCAGCTTCCTCATGAGGTAGAAATCCTCACCCTACTCTTTCTGCCTGGCTTGGGTTTTGGGTTGGAGCCCCACACCGGGGCAGGTGCAGGTGGAAGTATGCTTGGCTGTGCTGGCTGTAGTGAGAGATTGGGCTGAACAGCCGAGTGCAGTCATCTTCTCCCTCTGGACTCCAGAGCTGACCCTGGTCTTTAGGTGATGGTGGTGGCAGGAAAGCCTGGGTGCGAGGAGCAACTTGGATTTGCACTTGGGACAGCTTATAGCAGAAGTTGGCCGTGTGTGCCGGCCCTGGCTCTCCTTCACCCCATGAGAGTCAGCCCCCCTCGGCTGGTGGTGCTGCTGCCACCAGGTATCCTCTCCTTAAAACTGACTTCTTTCTTGCCTTGTCCTGCAAGAGGTGAGAAGAACGTCTGGGCAGGGTACATGGTCTGTAGATAGCACCTACGTTTGGTCTGCCTGTTCAGATGTGGCTGACAGAGGGAAGAGAGGTAGGTGTCAGGTAGTCAGTTCAGCTCTGTCTTGGTGGAAAATCCTTAGGGCCTTCAGCAGATGCGAGCGGGATCTGAAATCAATGAAGATTTAAAGGGGCTAAGTGAGGAGGTGTGTTTTCCTCACAATAGTTGCAGCCAACAAGCTTATTTTATGCAATAAGTAGCAGAAACTATTGGTCTGTGAACAGCCCTGGGCACCACTTACTACCACCCAGGCTTTTGGGAGGATCATTAAGTGGTTTTAAATGCATGTAAAGTTTATGGGAATGAATGGGTGAAGGAAGGAGATGTCACTGTAGACAAACAGGGCTGCTGTTTGTAAACTGTTGTCCAGTTTACTTTTTTGCAAAAGGCTTTTGCTGTGGAAGTTTGATGACCGTTGTGGCCTCTGTTAACAGCATCTCTCAGGGTGGGTGACACTGATGTCACCTACATCTTGTGGCTACAGTGAACCACCTGGTCCTAAGCTGCCAAGCCACCATGCCAAATTACAGGTGTGGTCACCCAGCCAGTGACCCCAGCTACCCCATCAGGTGCTGCTTCTGACCTCTGTCTCCCTCTCTCTCTTCCAGGCACCTGCGTGAAGTGCAGCAAGGGGGTGTATGGAGCAAACCAGGCTTGTCAGGCCATGGGCAACCTCTACCACGATGGCTGCTTCACCTGCGGAGCCTGCAGTGAGTACCCCCTGCCTGGCGTACTGCCGGTGCTGCTGGAGCAGGGCCCTGGGGCAAACTCTTCGGGCTTAACATTTTTCTGGTGTAAAGGGGGGAAAAAAAGGAGGTGGTTATTGAATTATCTGCTAGCTGGAGTCTGCCACAGCTGTATGTCTTGGTGGTAGTGGTTGCTATTTGTTTTTGAACGGGTTCTTGCAAAGCATGTAGAAAAGATACTTTGGATTGTGCCGGCTGTCTGCCTTCTAGTATGGGGGATGGTTGTTTTCATTCCTCTGTCTCTCTGTTACAGCTATGTTTTCTTACTCATAAGAGTATTTTTTCAAAGTGGCAGTGAATATGCCTTAGCTGGCATTTAGGTGTTTTTTATTTGTCACGTCAGACTTTACAGCCATTCTGGTCTTTCAGTCTGCGGACCCCAGGGAGAGCCGCCGGCTCAGCACCATGCCAAGGGCGCAGGCAGGGTGCAAGTATCACCAGCGGGCTCTGCGAGTGCTGGAGACACCTTTTCAGATGGAGCTGCTGCATGGTCAGTCCAGTCATGGTGTTTTCACTGTGTGCATTACCTTTACTCGCTGTAATTGTTTTGCCCTTCTGAGGGACCTCCGGTCAAAGCATCTAAGTGCATGAATTCCCCAGGTTACACATCTTGCTTGTTCTTTCTTCAGAGAAATGGAGCCGTGCCCTGAGATGAGGGACATGTCTCTGCGGGCTTGCTTTCTGGTTATTGCAGGGAGGGAGCTAGTTATTGTGCCAGAGGTGTCAGGCTGGGAGCAGCGATGGCGAGCCCTGTGAAATCTGCCCAGGAAGCGGCGTAAATAGTTCAGCTGGCCCTGCCGAGCTCCCTGCTGCATGTCAGACCCACACATGAAGCTTGCTGGAGTGTATAGCATGCTGCAGTGTATGGATCTTCCTGAGCGGCTTTTTGAGGAGGTCCATGATGGGGTGAGGAACCAGGCCACTTGATTTCAAATTGTGGCTGTGTTTGTAAGACAGTGTTTTTTCTATTTTGTTATGTCTAACTCTAGGGCTAGTAGCATATTTTTAGAAATGTAGCTGTATATGTGGTGGCAGAAAAAATAATAATCCTTCTGGTGCTTTTGTATATATCAGTTTGGTTTTCCCAGATGAGTCTTAGGGTTTTTCTCCTGCATTGTATTTAGAGTTGTAAACTCGTCAGGACTGCATGTGTTTTATTTGGAGCTGTAAAGTGGGAATAAATATAGAAAGATGTGTGTGCTTTTTAATAATAGCTGAACCTTGAACTCTGCTCATTTCCCAGCTGTCCGACACCAGATGCCTTGCCTTACCTATGTTTTCAGTAGAGCACTTCACCGTCATCTAAGCAAAGACGGGAAAACTGAAAAGAAAAAGTAGTGTTTGCGTGTGGTGGCAGTTTCCTAAAGGCTCAGAAGGCACAGCTCACTCTTTTGTCCCCTCATATAAACTAATTCGAAATCTTCTCCTGAGGAGAGGATTCCTGGCTGCAGACAGAGCTTTGCTTCAGGGACCTTTTGCCCTCCGTGGCCGGGTGGCCTCCAAACTGCCTTTGCACACAAAGCTCCTGTTAAAAATAATCCAGCAGCAGGTTCGAGCTGTCTTAAATGTCTAAAATTACTACTGTGCAACTGGTGCTTGAGAAAGAAACACTTTCAATCCTCCTTTTAGAATGGATTTTATCATCTTTATTTGGAGACCTGCACTAGAGAGGTACTTGTGGTTGCAGAGGTATTAGTGGTTACTTCTGTTTATGTTTGTTTGTGTTTGGTTAAAAAATAGCTTAATCCTATTTCTAATGAGGTGGGTTGGTAAGGGCTGAAAGAATAGCTATTTGCTGCTTATTCTAAAAGGCAACCCTTTCTAGAGGTTTCCAGTGCAAGATGAAAAGGTTTGGGTGTTGGGTGAGACTTAGATGGGAAAAAAACCTAAGTTCAGCAAAGTGAAGCCCATTTTCTCTCTAACCCAGGCTGTAACTGAGGAATCTCTTTGGAGATGTGCAAAGCATTTCAAATGGAAAGTTTAAAAAAAAAAAAAAGGCTAGTAAAAATGCTAGTTTAAAAAAAAAAAGAAAGGAGGGGAGTAATAATATTTATCTGAGTAGAAAATGCTGTATTTCTATATGAGATAAAAAAGGGGAATGGAAGCCACATGAGTATAAACAAGAGCCTGTTCCGTCTTGGTACGTGCAGGAGAGTAATTACTCATGAAAGCTCAAGCCCTTCTCATTGGGACAGCGGCCGTACTAAGATGGGAGCTGGACGCAGCGGTGGCCGACATGGATGGATGGAGAGGAGCGTGTGTGATGGCGTGGGACTTCTGGTACTCGAAGGAGAGCGGTGCTGGAGGGAGGCCTCTGCAGTAGCGGAGTTTCTCTCATGTGCACGTGAAAGTGGCAAGGCTTACAAGAAACCCTCCAGTACAGGGGGTGGTTTCCTGCGCTGCCACTGTCGTCTGCAGGGCCCTTCGTGCGGGGTTTGTTTGCTCCAGGGGCTTGGGAGGCACAGGGAGGGCATTTGTATTCTCCCCCCCCCAAAGCGTGCTTTGCCATCTGGCTTGCTGTGCTTGTGAAGGCATAGCTGGGCTGACTTTCTGATTCATCAAGCCTCTTTGCATTGCAGCTGCTTAACTGATGTCTGGGCTGGTACATGCCGTCCTGCCCTTGCGCTCAGGGAGGAAATGTACCCCAGGGGAATCCCCTCTTTCGCAGACCGAGGTCACTTCCCAGTCCCCAGGACCATCGGCCGCAAGATGAATGAAGGGCACACAGCCCTGTCGTTACCCAGAGAGAGCGCGTGCCTCTCTGCAGGCTTGCTGTCATCTGTGTCGCTGCAGTAAATATGATGAGACCATTTTATCTGCCAGAAAAATAAATATTTGTCCGGACAGTATTGTCTGTCTAGCTGCAAAGCATGTCTTGAGCAGCCTATGTGGAAACTCTGGTTTCCAGCTGAAAAGTAAGTAGTGCTTTTAAGGTCAAGTGGAGTTCATCTTGGACACCATCCAGTACAATCTTGTCTTTGAGAAGTCAAGGTTGCTTGTGATTTCAATCCTAAAATTTCTGCTCTGGTGGAACGCTGAATATCTCCGCTCCAATAAATAAAATATACAAAATTACCTATTAAGGTAAAGCATATTGTCCTCCAGATATTTATATCTGCTGTCCTGCTGTTTTCATTTTAGTGAGGATTTCTAATTTTGCTCGTAGTTGGATTTGTGTCCAAATGTGCATTAGTTTCCCAGATACAGAAAACCAAGAGGGTCTAAGGAGGGGAGGGGTGTTGATACCTCATGGCGCCAAATTTCCTACACTCTCTGTTTCCTGATACACATATGTTCAGAGATAAATGATAGAGCAATTTGTTGAGCAAGAGCTACGCATACGTTACAGGGTTCAGTTGTCAGGAAAAAAAATGTACTGTTTTATCTGAGCCACTGGCATGTAATGCAGAAAATTTGGCTTAGAGGTCAAAACAACAGATTTAGAATGATTACTTTGGCATAAATGTCTCATTTATCTTCTTGTTTGTCACAGGGCAGAGGCACAAACAAGGCAGCTTTTTGCAGAGAGGGAGAGGAAAAAACTTTGGGCTCTTTCTGCAGGATTAGTAATAAATTATATTTGCTTTACAGGAGGACCGTGAAAGTAGGTTAAAAAAAAAAAAAAAAGTCCTCGAAACTCATACGGCTATTTCCTGCAAGCTCAAAGTGTCTGTTTCTGTCTTGGTTTTTTTTTCAGTTTGTTGGACAAACAGTTGTAGTTATCAAATGATTTGTTACACATTAACCATTTAAGTTAAATCACCTGTTTATACCTCCTCAGATCACAAAAAATGCAGCTGTTTCCAGTTGTCAATATTTATTATTTAGGTAGTAAGGAGACCTTATAAATTATATAGATTTCACTAGACAGTATCGCTCTAACCTATTGTGGTGTTTCAGTGTTTTCTCTAGGATTCAGCCAGACTTACATCCGACTGCTGCAGACTGCCTGGAAAACAGACCTTTTTAGCTCTGCTGGCAGTGTAATTTAGAGCATAGGGGTCTTGTGCTTGAGCCGCTTGGTCCTCGGAGGAAATCTGAAAGCTAAAAAAGTGCAAGGGAAGTGTCAGAGATGACTGTGAAGGAAATCTGTAGGCGAGGAAGGAAGTCAGAAAGAAAGAACTGATTGCAAGGTGGTTTGAAGGAGGGCTTGATGTTGAACTGCAGCAGAAGGTCCAAAATGAGGACCAGATTTTGACCCCTTATTACAAAGAGGTGGAAACCTTGCATGTTTGCCAGATTACAGAATTCAACCTTTGACATCTCAATGTTACTACCTTACTTTCTTTTTCTTTTTTTATTGTAAGCTCAGATTAATGTTGATGCCTGTGTAAGGCTAACAGGCTGCTGTTCCAGTGGCAGAGTTTGAAATAACATGAGTTGGCTGTCTCTTGCCACCATCTGGGGATATATATAGGGTATTTTTTAATATTTCACAATGTAGTTGTGTTTAGAGGTATCAAGGGTCATTTACTAAACAAGGTGGCTAAGGTATCGAAGCAGTGTATCTGTGAGCATAGCCCTCTGCTTGGGCTAATTAGTCTCGCTGCAGTGATTATAAAGCATGGCTACTTAGAGCGATGTGGCTCTTCGTGTCATTGGGATAATTATGTTGAATAAGCATGCCCCATATTGGTATATAACCCCTGGAACAACAAGGCCGTGTTTTTTATTGGTATCACTAAATAACTCAACAAGGAGAAAGTCACCTTTTTCTGGGAGTGCGACTTAATCCCAGGTTGCAGGACAGACAGCCTTGCCAAGTGAATTTCCCCGCGGCGCATGTATGTGTCTGGTTATCTGCAGATGCAGAAACTACCAGCTCTTCTAGTGGGGGCAGAGTTTACTGCTTGTAATTGGATATAAAACCACTATAGTGATTGACATGCGTGAGAAATGCACAGATCTTCAAAGTGGAGAGTGCAAAGTACTGCTGGTAATACTTCCTCAGCATCCCTTTAATA